ATCTAATTGATTTTAAAAATATTTTTAAACATTCCAAAATTCCACAATCATCTAAACCTCAAATTTTAACATATATTTTTCAAAAATATAGATTTTAAATTAGTTTGTTACATTTTTTAAAATATAAATTTTTATTTAAACATTACTCAATTATTCTTAATACAACAAAATTTAAATTTTCAATTTAATTTTATAACTTTTATTTATTAATTTATTTTTTTTAATTATTTTTAAAAAATAATATTTTTGAAAAGTTATTCATTCATACATACCCCCTACCCTCTTCTCCTTTTTTTTTTTTATTCTTCTAAAATGGGTATGTCAAGCATTTGTAATGCCTGCCATAGAAATATAACCTTGACCCAAGCTATTTGTTTTTATAAACATGGGCCCAGGTCAAAACCATGTATAAACTCTGGTAAACCCCCTTCAAATGTAATTTTGTACAACAAAATTGAAACAACCCCCATTGTAATTCAAAATTTTTATCCTGATTTTTATGATAATTTTTTTAAAGTGGGAAAAGCCACCAACCTTAATCCACCTACCCCTTAAATCAAGGTCTTTGATTTCTAATTTTTTAACAACACTTTAATCACATACTCTCTTTTTACATGCACAATTTTTCTTTGTACACATTTATTCCTCACAATTGAACCAAATTAATTTTTTTTTCTTTTTACTTTTTCATTTATATACTCTTCAAGACTCAAATTCTCTCACATTCCTTTTTATATCCCCATTAATACAAAATAATATTTCTTCTCCCTTTCATAAACATACCCAAAATAATTTTTTTTTTCTCCCCTTTTATATATTGTTTCTTTGTAACAACATTCAACATTTCAACTAATTTAACATTTACATATATATATAATTTTTTTATTCTTTCATAATCACAACTCTCTTTTCACATGCATAATATTTTTTTTTTACCTGTACACATTTATTCCTCACAATTGAACCAAATCTTTTTTTTTTTTACTTTCTTATATATATATTCTTCAAGACTCAAATTATCTTACGTTCTTTGTAATATCCCCATTAATACAACATAATTTTTCTTTTCCATTTCATAAACATACCCTAAATAATTATCTTTTTTTCTCCCTTTTATATATGCTCCTCAGTCTTTCAATCTTTTATTTACTTTAACCATTACATTTATTAAAACAAATAACCAACCTCTATCAAACACCAACCAACCCCAACAACCCTTATGCCCATTCTTTCCTCTCATATTTAATAACCTTATCTTTACAACATCATTATTCTCTGCAGATTATTTCTTCCTAGTTTCTGTCACATCCCCATTCTCAACACAATTATTCACAACCTTTCTTTATCCACACAATGGAACGCTGCCCCACGTGCTCCAAAAACATAAAAATCACCAAATCCGGCCTTTTCACCAAGCACAAATCCAAAGGCAGTGCTTGTCCTGAGTCTGGAAAGCGTCCTTCCCCTCCCTTCCAAAATCCCCTCTCCATTTTTTCTACTCACAGTTATACTTCCACCTCACCCAATAACGCCCACATACCAACCACATCAGACACATTCATTTCCCTCCCACCTACCACTCACGTCGACATCATTAACTTTCTAAAATCCGACAAACCTCCCATTATTTCTAGAATTCCCAAAGGCTCTAGAATACAAGTAGCCAAAGCTCTCTCTACCTGTCTTCATTCACTAATAAATAACTTTTCCTCTCTAGATCATTGGCTCAAACTTTTTTCATTTTCTTTCACGACTCTCCAACCTCCCAATCCTGAGATTCACAAATCTTTAACCCAACAAATTAAAGACGCAACCATACACCCCCTCACCCTCACATAACTTTTTCTCCTCATAATTCTAAAAAACTTTCCAGCCTCCAATTAAAGGCTAAGATAATTTCTAACAAAATAAACAATCTAAACATCAAATCTGCTCTCCGCTTACTAGCATCTGACGACTCAATTGCAACCAGTAATGAGGAGAGCTACAACAAACTTAAACTTAAGCACCCTCCTGGAGGTGACCTCATACCTCCTCCTCCGCCCAACATATTTCCCACTAATTTCACCCCCGTCGAGGTGCGCAAAAGTATCCTATCCTTTCATCACGACTCCTCGCCCGGGTATGATGGGCTTCGCCCCATTCCTCCAGGACCTTACATCCCCCCTCATAGTCAGCCAGGTCCCTATTTTACAGAATCTAACAACATTCTGCAACAAAATTGCTCATGGACCTGTTCCCGAATCCATCAGGCCACTCCTGTTCGGCGCTAAATTAATCGCACTCGAAAAGCCGAACAAGGACATCCGGCCGATAGCAATCGGGACCGTATTCCGTCGCCTCGTTGCTAAACTCATAGCTTCCAAAATTAAGGACAACGCAGCCTTAATTTTAGCACTCCATCAACTCGGTATTGGCATCCAGGGAGGTTGCGAAATAGCCACACACGCTACTCGCATCCATCTCCAAACCAACCCTAGTGACGAAATCCTCGTCAAAATTGATTTTTCTAACGCCTTCAACTCCATTCGCCGTTCCCACTTTCTTCCACAAATATACCACTCATTTCCCACCTTCTCCCAATTTTTCCACTCCTGCTATTCCAAGCCATCTCATCTCCAATTCAACAACTACTTACTTTCATCATCTGAAGGGATCCAGCAAGGCGATCCTCTAGGCTCGATACTTTTCTGCATTGGAATCAACGAAATGGTCAAAAACATTTCTACCAACTGCAATCTTCCACTCCACACTTGGTACATCGACGACGGAATGTTCTGCGGCTCCCCTCACGAGGTCGCCAAGGCCCTCGCCATCATTAATACACATTCCGCCGCAATTGGACTTTCACTTAACGAACAAAAAACCGAAATATGTCCACTTCATTGTTCCATCCCATTCACCCATAACTTCCTTACAACCGAGCTATCATCCCTCACTCATCTCGGCTCACCTGTCGGTGGCTTGCAATCCATTAATCACTTCTTCTCTAACGCATCATCCAGCTTACTTCACTTCAAAAACATCTCTAAATTTCTCCCTCGCCATCAAGCTTTTTTTCTCCTCAAAAACTTTTACTACATTCCTAAAATTCTTTACGCTCTTCGATCCACCTCAATCTTTAAATTTCCCGACTCACTAAAATCATTTGAAACTTCCGTCAAATCTCTTGCCGAAGAGATCCTTAATCTTCGTTTCAACCATAATTCATGGCTACAAGCATCACTTCCATGCAAGCACGGGGGCATCGGCTTACGCTCACCTTTAACTCTTTCCATCAGTGGATTCATCGCCTCCCGCCTCTCATCTGACTCACACATTAGCCAGCTTACTCACTTTCCTGACCCATTATTAGCTGAAGCCCAGACCATTTGGGACAATTCCGTTGTCCCAAACACTCCTCGACCCTCCTCCTGTTTACAGAGAGACTGGGATACTCCACTCAACGAAGGCTCCGTCGCTTACCTAAAATCGAGCCTTCATGACGACGATCTCACAGTCTTTCACCAATTAAACCAAGGATCGGGTTACGAGTTTCTGGAAACTATACCCTCCAACAACCTCGACTTATTGCTGACCGCTGACGAGCTAAGATTTGCTATTGGATTACGGCTCAATTGCGAAATTGTTCTACCGTACCAATGCAAACATTGCGAAACCAGCGTCGATCGCAAGGGCAGACATTGCCTCCATTGCCGCTTTTGCCGAGGCCGTTTTCCACGGCACACCAATTGCAATGACATCATATTGCGCGCTCTCAAATCCGCAGGCATTCCATCAAGACTTGAACCGACCGGCATTTTTAGATCCGACGGAAAACGTCCTGATGGAATGTCCTTGATTCCTTGGAGGGGACAGCTACTAGTCTGGGACTTCACCTGCATTGACCCAAATGCACCATCCAACCACAACGTCGATGCCCTCGCTCTAGCAGAAACTCGTAAAACTATCAAATATAGTTCCATAGACCCCTCTTTCTTATTCATACCTATCGCCTGCTCTACTCTTACCACCTTCGGTAGCAAAGCTCTAAGTTTTTTTAAAGAATTAGGCAAACGGATTCGGGAAAAAACCGATCAGCCTAAAGAGTCCCTTTTTTTACGACAAAGACTTGCTACAGCCATCATTCGCTCTAACTACCTAAGTTTCATCTCTTCCATTGAATAATCTCCTATGTCTATGCTCTCTCTCTCCTTTCTCTTTCCTAGTTTCCATTCTTTTATCCCTTACCCTTTCGCAAATTATATTTTTATATTTTTTTACCTTTATTAATTTTACCATATAAAAAATTTATTATTTGCTATAAACTTTTGATAATATATTATATCAGCAACTATTGAAATAAAGAGAGAATTTACCCGTCATTTAATATATAGTGTTAATAAAAGATTTTGATTTAGAAGAGTCACATTTTATTTATTTTATTATATATACTAATCTAATATACTTTAGTGTGAAAATTAAAACACACTTTTAACAATGTACTTTGGTGTGAAATCTAAAAACACGCTTATAAGAATGTATTTTTGGAATATAACAAAGTAGATAAATTACTGATGGAATATAACAAGGTAGACAAATTTCTGACTAATATATTTCCTAATTAGTAAATATAGTGTTAATACTTTACAAAGAGAGGTTTATACTACATATGATGAACAACCAAAAAGAAAAAGAAAATATACCTGTTTTGAGAATACTGAAAAACAACCACTAATTAAAATAGATACTGAAAGCGGATGGGGGAACAGTTCCAAAACTTCATTGCTGGTTTCCATGTTTGAGGTATTCAGAATTTTTAAAAATCTTGTATTCATGCAAGCGGATTGAAGAATTAAACTAAAATATATCTGGTCTTTTATTTCATTCATATTATAAAATTTTCTTTTTACATTTATAATGTTAAAATTGTAAAAAAATCTATTCTATATATTTATCCTTAGTAAAGTTTGAGCCAATGATTGATGACAATCATCCGTTGAAGGTTTTATATTTTTGTGTGAGTGCTTGAAAAGTTCGGTCCTAAACCTTCTTGAATGGGAAATGAAGCTTATTTATAAGAATATAGATAAAGAAAGAAAAGGTGTTATTGTTTTGATTGCTGAAGAGAATGAAGACATGTGGCATGTATATAATCTTATTAATGAAGGAGATAGTTTAAGAGCTTCTACATTTAGAAAAATTCACCAAGAAAGTGCTACTGGTAAATCAGTATTATTTATAAATATTATGATTATATCACATAGGAACTGTTAGCGTGAATAAGGTTAGGACTATGCTTACAATTTGTGTTGAATCAACAGATTTTGATACTCAGGCATGTGTATTGCGTGTGAAAGGTAGAAATATTGAAGAAAATCAGTTTGTAAAAATGGGTGGATATCATACATTAGATTTAGAAGTGAATAGAAAGTTTACAATAGGTATATAAATATTAAATTATTTATATTGATTTCTGATCATATTAAAATGTGATAAAGTTTTAGTTATTCTTTATTTTTCTGAAGACTAGACTGATATTGGTTAAGGTATTTAAGATTCCATAGATTTTATCACCAATTAATTGTCATATAAGCAATAGGTAATTATTTTTAATACAAAAATTATCAGAATTGTTTAACTAATGGTATTGTTTAAAGATCTATCAGATCAAATTATAAGGTTCTAAAAGATTCTAAATACCTAGATAATACAGTACTGAATCTTATAAAAAAAATTTATATTAATTCTCTTATGTAGAATAATAATTAATTGATAATCCTTTATTCATCTAGAGATACATTTTTTTGTGTTTTATAATTATTTTTTAAAAATTAAATTTACATATTTTCGAAATAATATAAATAAAAATAAATATGTTGTTAATTTATATAACCACCCAGGATCTGGTTATTTTAAAAGAGCTAGCCAGATCCAAAGAGGGAAGATATAGGCCTTGATCTCTTATTATATACCTTTGTGATTCTAGTTTTTTTATTAAAGATATTTTTTTGTACAATAATTTTATAAACCTTAAATTGAATAGAAATAATAAAATGAAAATTATTATTAGCAAACTTGAGTAGACTCAGGATAAACATCCTACAATACCTATTAATAATAATCATTAATCTTCATAAATTAAATTTTTAGCTTACATTAAGATAAGAATTTATATAAAAAAATTTAGTGGAAAATTCCTAAACTGATAAGAAATATAGAATGTGCTGTTTATTTTTTCCTAATTCTTTTTATTAGAGCAATATACTGAAGTTGGATTGGCATCAATATTGGTTATTTTTGAAAAAAATTTTGGATTGGCTTATTTAAAACTCAATACAATTTCTTTTTGTTAAAAAAATAATTAAACAATCACATAATAAAATATATTATTGTTGATTTGATACATCATTTTTAAAAAATTTGTTTATTTTTATTATATTTTTATAAGAATGAGTGAGAATAGGATTGTAAAAAGAACAAAAGCTATTTTTTACAATTGTAAGAAAATGAGAAATAAATACTAATATTGTTTTAAGAAAATTAAAATTTTAAAATTAATCAAATTATAAAAAAAATAATGATTGTGATATTGAAAAATTCGTAAATATAAGTTTGAGATTTTTCACAATTGCCTTTAAAAATGGGAGGTTTAGATTTATATCCATTAAACCATATATCTCTAACTTCATTTGTGACAATATTAACTTTTTCAATCAGTTGGAAAATAATAATAACTCATTTATAGTGCTGTAAACATTTTTAAAAAAATCGAACGTGTTCACGATCAACGTTCATTGACAAAAATCGAACACGTTCAAATTAAAAAAAAGGAACGCGTTCAAGTTCATGAACTTCATATGTTCAAAATTTTATGATAAATTCTTTTTTTAATTTAAATTAATACAAATAAATGCCTTATATTTTTCAACACAATATATTAGCCATGATAAAAAATAATAGTTTTATTTTGATAATATAATTATAAATACAATATAATAGAGCGATAAAAAAATAAATTTATAAAAAAAATTTCTTATTAATTTTTAATAATAATTGCTTTTCAAAATTTTCATCTGATAGGCATGAACGCTTGTCAGTTAATACAGCGTTAGCTATACTAAAAACTCGCTCAACAGGGGCGGATGAAGGGATTGCGGTGTTATACTTGATAAACAATTCTTTTAAAAGGGGGAATTTATTAAAAACATTTAATGTTTTATCCATTGTTTCAAAAAATTGAGCTATGTTATCCTCCAATCTGCCCTCTTCTTCCTCGTCAAATAAAAAGGATATCTCGGAATTGATTTTAAAACAGTGAAATATTTTTGATATTTGGGCCATGGTAATTCTAATTCATCTAATATTGAATTTTGATTTTCAGAATCTGATGATGAAATATTTATATCCATGCAAATGCTAATCTATTAAATTAAAATATAAAATATTCAAATTAATAAACTTTAATCTTATCTTCTCTAGCAGTAGCACTATGGTACGTTAATTGCAATATGTAAAAGGAAAAAGTAAAAACAGCTGATTAAAAAATATAAGACTTTTTTGTTAAAAAATTGGATTAAATATTAATTTTTCAAATAAATAAAAATATAAGACTTTTTTGTTAAAAAATGCGGATTAATATTAATTTTTCAAATAAATAAAAAATAAAAATTGTTTTTAAAATTGAACGAACGTAAAATTGAACACGTTCATCAAAGAAAAGGAACACGTTCACTTTCAAAGTTCGTCAAAAAAAAAGGAACGCCGTTCATCACCTTTTTTCAAAGAAACGAACTTCGTAGTTTACAACACTACTCATTTAACATTAATTCTCAATTTCTTGTTCATTGGGCATAATAAGTTAGATTAAATTTTATTAAGCTTATGGTTTGATCTAAGTTTATATAAAAAAATATATATAATGGCTCCAGCCATACTATCTACTTTGGGATTCAAAATCCCAACAAATTTAATATCCTTATAACGTGACAATTGAACTTCTATCCACCCAGCTAACTAAGGACTTGTATATGACATTGATTTGATTAGTTTTAATTATAAAGAATTACTACCACCAGATAGGCGATTCTTATATGATATTAATTTAAATATTATGGCAATGACTAATTAAATTAAAATGACTATCAAAAGACTATGTTTATATTGCCTTAAACTTTATCTATAAATAAAGATAATAAAGTTAGCATCCATGGCCCAACACTATCTTGATGTCCAAGTTCCAAACACCAGGCTCTATCTCTTATTAGTAAACCACCATCCTCATTACACATACCTATAAATCTTCAACCTGAAAATCAAAATACTAATTTAGTATCATCATTTAAAGACAGATAATAATATCAATATTCAATATAATTCTGCAATTGCAAATAATTCAAAATTTTAATGATTCAGATCAATCAATAAGTTATTATTACAAAGAAAGTCCTAAATCAAAATCTATCAATTTATTTTAATAAATAAAAAATTAATAATAATTCACATATGAATTTAAAAATACAAATTTCATTAGAAAATAATATTCAGAAGAATATTTGGCCAAACTTAATATCAAAAAAATAAATGATGTCAATACTAATGGTCCTTTGAAATATTTTTTTAACCATCAATAAATTTCTCCTGCTGATACAGACCAATTCAATTACTTGCTTTCCAAACATCCAACTAATGTTATTAAAAACCTTTCTTGTTATTAAAGATATCTTTTATAAATTAACCATAGATGAAGTGCCTTTCATTTTAAATAGATTCCACCACATTTTTGATGGTATCAGACCAGTTTTTCAACGAGATCTTATAAATATAGACAATTCTTGGTCTCTAATTCTATTACAGGTATTGGTAACCTAAATGGGAGTCTACCTCATCCATTAATTCAACTATTTTTTGAAGCTAGTCTTAAAGTAGCAAGATCAAGGCACTCGCTCAAGATAATGAGGAGTTTTTAGGAGGATTATCTCAAAAATTATATGCAAACATATAAAAAAATCCTTATTAGAAATCCAAACCAATTAGGGTTTGACATAAAATGTGGGTGTGAAACAGCTAGCTACGCAGCAAGAACTACTCTAGATAATCTATTTTCAGAACATGCATTCAATGCTTTAAATCGTAATTTTTTAATATAAAGCTTTTTAGCATTTCTCCAGATTATTTCAATTCAAGCTACTATATACCTCAACCATATTACAATATGGCAAGCAAACTATTCTATCAACACAAGGAATTCAGCAAGGGGATTCACTCTGAATGCCTTTATTCACTTTAGCCATCAACAGTATTTCAAAATAAAATATAAAAACTAATTGCAATCTTGATCTTATATGGTATTTTTGGATGATGTCACATTTTTAAGCATTAGATATCATCGTTTCAAATTTTAAACAACTTAATTCTAAATTATAAAAAATGCTAAATTTACTTAACTTCAAGTTTTTCTTCCCCAGATATTAATATTTTTACCCATGTAATTAAAGATTAAATTTCTATTCTCAAATCACCAATAGAAGGATTTATAGGAATTCAACATTTTTAGAACACAATATGATTAATCTATCAAGAGAAAATATTCTCAAACATTTGTTTTCCCATCAGGCGTTTATTTAATTAAATTTTTTTTAATATTTCCAAAATACAATTCTGCTTTATCGGATGCCAATTTATTTCCTTCTATGCTTCAAAAATATGAAGATTGTCAACCTAAAATTTGACCAAAATAGCTGGCTAAATACTACCCTTCCAACGCTTACTATCATTACCATTTTCAATAGTTTTTATTTCCTTTTTATTAATATACAAAAATTAAATTCTTAAATTATTAAACCTTTTAAGGACATAATGCAATGCTTTATCAAGCTGGTCTGCTAAAACATCCATTGGCTTAATTTATCCACTCTCTAATTTACAAAAGGATTGGGATGGTGCTGTTATGTCACTGTACTAACCTTCATTCATTGGCAAATGGATAAACAGGCCACGATCTAAGTATGTTAAATAAATATCCCCTGAATAAGGAGTTTAGATATTCTTTGGCTATCAGGCTAGGCTTGGACATATCTCTACCTTGTAAAAAATACGGGGTAATGGTTGATTCTAAAGCTAAGCATATACTCCATTGTCTCGTCAAAATTACAAATATATAATACACGAAAATAATAAGATAATTCAAAATTGATTATCCAAAGCCGATGCCCTTCACATTAAGCCGTGATAAATTAACCATCTGATGCTTTAACTCCCTGACATATCGGGAAACACTTGTATTGAGATGTTACGTTTATATACATTCCCTCTTGTATTAATTGTGATATATTGCTTTGGAAAGAAAGCACCAAAATATTCACACCTATCCGAAAACGATATATTCATATTGATTTTTATTTCCCATTTATCCTTGACCCAATGTCATAAAAATATCAATATT